CAGGGAGAGTATCTTTTTTTTAAAAAAAAACACAATCACAGTACATTTGTAGATGTCGAAAGAAGCAGACCCTAGAACTTCTTCAGGAGTCTGGTCTCATTCCTGTGACATTTGCGTTCAAGAGTGTCATGTTTTTCTGGCAAACAACTCATTTGGAATTAAACTATTTTCTGTGCTGAACACAAGAGATGTAAATTTAGGGGCTTGCAGCCAAAGCCACCATCCCTATAGAACAGACAGAGCACAGACTGTTCTCTACAGCACTGCGTGTTCCCACTCTGTTTTTTGCGACAGAGCGGAGGGCATGCTCTGCAGCAGCCCTGTCCCAGTTAGACATCTCCCCTGTGGACTATGAGACATGGCAGTAGAATAGAAGGAATTTTTAGGCCTTCGAATCAGGACCCTTGGAGGACCCCTCCCATTCACCACAGTGAATAAGAGCAAATTGAAATGCAGCCACTGCCTACCCCAGTTTCCTGGCATTTAGCAGACACTTGTGGTGGCTAATTATCACCAGTCTTGTACTACCCAGGGCTCCCTAATCTTCTAACAAACTTCTTCATGGAAGAATACCATATCTGCATAGGAGTCCACTAATACCACAGTTATAGCATCTGGGTTTGAAGATGCAGTATCCATAGATTGTTTCTGCACTGACGCGAGAACCAGACCTTTGTTTTTTCCCCGCAGTTTCCAGATTCAGCAATCATTAGCAAACAGCAGAAGCCAGCAGAGTTTAATTGTATTTTTTTCCAAAACAGTGAGGTGTTCAGCTGCAGAGCACTGTGGATGTAACTCAGCCACATTACAAGACGTCTCTAACAAGAAGGCACTGGAGCAGGAGGTAATTGAGGGCTGGCTCCCGGAGGGAATTTTCCCTTAAAAGGACAACTAGATTGTCATGATGAAACCAGCTTGCTTCCACTGCCTGCAGAGCTTTTTGCAAACACGCCTGCCAGAGCTGGGGGCGGTGGCAATTATTCCAGCAGGCAGCTGGAGCAGCAGGGCAGTGGCTACTGCTCCAAATACTGTGGGATCCCTGGCCTGGCTCAGCCATCCTCTCCCATGAAGGGCAGCCCCAAAGGGTCACTTCAGTGCTATGTAACAAGAGGCCAGCTCCTACCATCTGCTGAGGGAAAAAGGATACTTCAGCTAGGGTTGCAACCAAAGCAACCAGCCTCACAAGAAGTGCTTGCACTCATAATCAGTAATATTTTCAGAGACGGGCAGGCAGGATGCCAGCTGAAAGCATACCAGAGCTACACTGGAATTTTTCCGATGAAATATTTTTTTCCTCTACCAGAAAATAACTGAAATCCCAGCTTTAAATCTGAAAGTCCACAGAACAGTTCTCATCAAAGCCCTTTGGATGGGATTGCGGCAAAATAGGAGAGCAGAACTCTGGTGTGGCCCCTCACACAGCAGCAGGCTGCTGATAAGAGAGCCAGGTCTGGGGCCAAGAAGCCCCCTCTCTGACAGGTCTAGATCAGTGACTCAAACCTCAGTGTCCCACAAAGGAAAGAAACCGCTGTAACTCCAACACAACCACTGCTTCAGGCCTGAGCTCCCTCCTTGCCCTCTGCAAAGCCCACCCACCTGGATTCTTTTCTGTGTTCTCCTGTGCAGTGCAGGAAGGGCTGTGCTGTGGTTTTTAGATGGAATGAGGCTGGAATGGGAAAGACTGGTTTAGGCCCAGCTGTAGATGCAGTCACGAGTTCCTACCGCACAACTAAAGCCTCCCTGTGCAGATCTTGGGTGAGATTTTCAAATGCGATTAATGCTCATGCAGTCTCTCTAACATGGAATAACCCACACATTATGAAATGAAAAAATGGACCAGGGATCAGAGTTTCCCTGAGTTCTGATCAGCGGACAAAACACATGTAAATGAGCAACCAGCAGGTCTCACGTGAGCAAACGTACCATCCTTATATCACAGCAGGGAGTCAAGGAATGGCACAGAAGCCCAAAGAGGTGACAAGACAAATTTCCCAAACATCTGGTCGCCAGCAAACCACTGCCACTGGAAATGCTGAGCACGTTACCAGGCAGACCAGCAGCAGCTCACCGCAGGCCACAGTAGTCAGCTCAGGGGTTGCAGAAATTCTTCAGCCATTCTGAGATCTGTCTGGTGTTTGCTCCACTTGGCAACAGCTCATTGCTACTGCTGTCAAGTGTCAGCTTGAAATAGTCTCATTTCAGGAACTCTGTGAGCAGCCGTGGAGGATCAGCGCTCTTCTTCTTAGCTTTGGGGTAGAAAACTTCCTAATCAGTCCTTCTCTGCAAAGAGAAGTTTCAACAGGATAAGTGTACTGGTGCTGATAAACAGGAACTCGTCCAGAGATACACAGCAGAAAGCTGGAGAATTACAGGTGTCTACAGGCACAGACCAGTTGCCATTTGGCTTTCCCTTTCTATGAGTAATACTATGAAGATTAAACAAGCTCTATAGCTGAGTCACAGCAAGTGAATGTAAACTTCTCCAGACTGGAAGGACCTGGAGGTGGAGGTGGAGGAAGGACAGGTGGAGGAAGAGCCCTGTATATTCTTATGTCCTGGATAAACACAGCATGGCAAGTCCACGGAACGGTGCAATTACTGCCACAAGGTCTGGGATGTGCAAGCCTGTCCCAAAGGAAGACTTGGTGGTGGAAACATATGATAAACATATGACAACATCTGCCTTCTGTTTCCTGTACTCTGTACAGATTCCTGTTCTCTACAGATGACCCTGTCCCTTCTCTAAGAGAAAGCTGGGGCTTGCGCTTTTTTAAAGGTCTGCTGAGACCAGCTACAATATGAGCTAGCTCATTCCGTATCTGTTCTCATATCACGTGCACCCACTAGACACTCAAGCAGTGTGATCTCACATCTGCCCAGGGTTGTTTGTTCTCTCAGTCCTCCTTCTATGAGTGCACTGCACTGAAACAAGAGACAGGACAGTCAGAGTGCTCTCTGCAATCAGGAGTACTCTCTTCACAAACACAGCTAACGCCCAGCTGAGCTCCCCCACCTCCTCTCCACTGATGTCATTATTTTCCATGTTGTTTGTTGTGCCCAGTAGTGAGGATGCCCGTGGAATGCAGCAGCCTGTGTCAGATCTTTCTGCACTGATCATCAGCAATTCTAGCAGCTGACTTTAAAGGGAAGCCTCATGGGCTGCAATAAAATAAAAGTAATCAGGCTGCAATTTGACCTCCACAGATCTCCTTGTAAAGTACACAACTCCAGCTGCTGTCCCAGCCCCCTCTCACTGCCTTTCATTCCAAGACCATGAAATTACTCATTAGTTTTGGAACAAAGTTTCAGTGCACTTGCATGTGGTTGGGGACAGAGACAGATGTTGCGGGTTCTGGAAGGATTGCTGAGAGACAGAAATGAAAACACTTCCAAAGCTGCACTGCTGCCTCCCAACATTGTGCTCACTGGCTTCTACTGCACTCCTTGGCTTAGCATGGAGTTAGAAACAAAGGCAATGATGGCTTCACAGCTCTATTGACTCTTCACTTCCACTGTGATTTTATTATATGCTCAAACATAAGACTTTCTGTTTTGCTTAAAATTTCACACCGAGCTTACTGAATGACAGTAGAGAAGTTCAGAGCTGTGCCACTGGCAGTAGGTTCCAGTAATTGAGGTTTATGGTTACAAAGCACTGCATTTCAACTGCAGTTTTTTCCTGCTAAAAGCAAGGGAAAGATTGCCTTTAAGAGCCAGACAGAGGCCCAGGAACCAGAGAAACCAGACCTCTTTTTACACATGCAGAAAGTGAGAATAAAAGCATAGCCTGCAGGCATGTCAGAGAGGGGATTATGATGCAGCATCCAATTATGGTTCAGTTTACAGGATGCAGCCATCCCCGCCTCCCATAACCAAGGGCTCACTACATTCAAACTAGGAAGAGACAGGACAGCAGCTCCATCACACAGCTTCTGTTCAGAAAATAGTATTTTCTGCCCTTTTGATCCTTCCCTGCTGCTCTTGTTTTCCTTCACATACTAAATGTTTTAAGAGAACACCAGTCTTATATTCCTGGTCTTAAAAGACCAGGCTGATCTCTGCCAGCAAGGAGTACAGTTCAAAACAAGGATAGGACTGCTGTGACCTGGTGATCACTGTAGGATTGAGGCTGTCACACCAGTGATCTCCCAGACTTCTCCCAGGTTGGCCCTTCCTTCCCACCAGGTGCTCAATCACTGGTTCAGGCTGTAACTTAGCATTCCAACTCAAAGGAAAATAAACTGAGTTGGAAGACGCAGTGAAATCATGACAGTAAATTGTGTGAAAGGCAGAGACCAGCAGGATTGCTATGGACATCAGGAACAACCCTGCCGACTGTGTTAATTGAGTGCGAGCTTCACTTTCAAAGCTACACAGAAGCTTAAGCCCATTTATCTTTTCAAGGGATTTAAAGGCCTATGAGCTTTGGAAAGTGGCACTGACAGGACAGGAAAGTTCAAATCACTAATTGCAACTTCCAGTAGCTGTTAACATGGATTGAACTATCTGCGTCAAGCCCGTACGACATCTTACCAGTTAAGACTTGCTTGACTGTTCTCTCTGAGATTTCCTGGCATCTTTGAGACTTTTACTTAAAAACAAACAAACAACAATTTCTCTAACATGTGATTTCATCCCAAATCCATAATATTGGATTCTTCCTAAGTCTGAAGACAGAGAAAATCATTTTGTGGTACAGGCTGCTTTCTGAGCTAGGAGCAGCAGCTGTGCTGAAATACCTCATTTTGTGTTGTCTGAAAGGCTACATGGGATAAGCAGAGTCTGGGAAGACGGGAAAAACTGAATTACAGGCTTATGAGATGGACACTGACAAAAAAAAATGAAGTGACAAGCTTGCTCAGATGCCAACTGTGTTTAATCCAGTCATCACACAGCCTGTTTAACTAAATATTTGATTTCAGAACTGGGCCTGAATTATTACTGGCAAAATTTTCAAGCTCCACAGGTCCCTCTAACAAGCTGCTCCTCTGTGGAAGCTTTGCAAGCAGATGAATACAGCCTTTGAGGAAAGTGATGAATCTCTTCTCAAGCTTCCAGAGTGGGTTTGCGGAGTCTCCTCAGGTTTCCAGGGTTTCTGAAAGCTTCATATGTCTGACTGCAAGAAGCTACAGAACTGACGTTTGTGAGCATTGCTGGAATGTTCCCAGATTTTTGGCTATGTAGCAGGTCCCAGCAACAGCTAACAAAGAAAGCAGCAAAATAACCTATAGAACTACTAAAAGCTTGGCCCGGACAGATAACAAGATAAAGCCACATATGAAGACATGTAGACAGAGCCCTAACATGTATTCTGTTCTAGTGGGACATATCTGAAAGTGCAGTTTGCAAATCTAGACACAAAGGCTGTACAGTTATCTCCTTTCATACCCACAGCAGGGACATAAAGCAGCACAAACATACAATTCCCCACAGCATCACTGGTGGCTTCACAGCACAGTGCCAAGGGAACTCATTAAGGTGCTGCCATGTAGACCCTACAGTGGCTATCTCAGCATACTGTGCCATTTGACACCTAGTCATATTAAGACAGACCATCAACACAGAAAGAGTATGGTGGTCATCTCTTTTCCCATGCAGTATTCAATTTCTTGACTGTGGCAACATATGCCAGGGAATACAACCCTGCAGGGCTGGAGGCTGTTGTCTGAGCTCCCCAATTGAGGACAGCTTCAGGATTGCAGTGGCTTGGTTTCTTGGGCTGCAATCAGCTGCAGGCAGGAGGAGTCACCTTCCAGTTTTACTTCCAAAGGAAGATTATAAATTAAAGTCCAATTTGCTAAACCTTTTGGTAAGCAGCTGTTTCTGCATAAACACATACCAGTTTGTGGGCTGTATTACATGGTTAGCTGCAAATCTTACTGACTTTAAAATCACTGTGTATACAACTAAACGAGAGGGCGAACAGAGGCACATTTTAACATGGCATGGATTTAAACAACCTGACTCATAATTTTTGAAAACTGGAGATTGAAAATGATTATCCTAAACTAACACATAAAAATTGGGCACAAAATGCTATGTCAGAGAGCTTCCCTTTTAAGCAAGAAAGAGCATGTAGCCAGCTTAACTAAAATTTTTCTTCAAGTGAAATAAAGTCGAAGACTTTAACACCTTTCTGAAGACAGGGTCAATATCAAGAATATATTGCAAGAAGAATTCAAATTATTACCTCCCCCTTGCATTCAGTATGGTACATTAGTGGAAAAATCCAAAAGCTCTTTTAGTTCTGTTAGCTAATAAATGGATCGCTAGGCAAGTGTTCAGCATGCTAATAAACCCTTGCAACATTCTGTATTTAGTATCAGCAGAAAGTCTTCACCCCTTCCACACCTGAACACGTACCTATTTTATAAGAAGGGAAGAAACTGCCTACGTTGCTTTTTTTCTGCCTGCTGGAAACACCCAAGCCCGCAGATGCAAACTTCCAGTGCATCTGTGCTACTTCTCTCTGAGGTCAGCATTAAGCAGCAGAAAAACCACAGAAGATCAATCCTAGCTGATTCAGGTTCTGGGAGAGGTGCAGACAGTGATGTTAACATTGACAAGTTAAGTCCAAACAGCTTTCCATCTCTGAATCTCTTCTAGCGAAGTGAAAGAGTAGCAGAAGCCAGAAGTGCCATCTAGGGCTGGGAGGTTGCTGAGCTGGGCACAGTAGGTACACACAAGCAGGGATTATTCTCTGCCCTATCCAATGCTGTTGCCCCGGCCCTCGGGCAGTAGGGTACCCACTGGGGAAGGCTCAGCCCTTCTCAGTCATTCCTGCTGGCTCTGTTCCAATTTGTCTAAAACACTTAAATATTCATTGTGAGAGAGAGCAAGTCTAGCCGGGTGCACAGACTCCTCTCCAGGGAGCCAGGACACCTGCCTTCTACACTCAGTGCTTCATCAAATCATTAATTATTTAAAATAACAGGAAAAAGCAAGAAAAACTCATGCTTGCAGCCTGCTGCTTATAGTACTCTCTGGGGTCCTGCGGAGACCAGGGTTTGCAACTCCCCTCCGGCAGAGGAGAGGATCTAACCTAGCTTTCCACTTTCCTAGGGGAGGATGCTTCACCCATTGAGCTATTGTACAGAAGGGCTTTTCCTTTATCCAGGCAGCCGTTAGGCTTGCTTTTCTTATCACTGACAGTTTTTCTTTCTTTTTTTAATTCAATTTGAATAAATGGAAAACAAAACCCAAATCCTAAGCTCCGAGACCAGCAGCTAACCACAGACCCCTACACAATCTTGTGTTTGCTTTAGAGATTAGGGTCTACCAAGGCAATAGGCATTCTTCTCCATTTCATAGCTGCAACTGCTGCCAGTGGTCCCACAGCAAGACAGCTGCATCAGTGCAGCACTTGGGTGCACAATCCTCATCGGGGCGTCTGTAAGGAGGTGGAAACAATGGATCAGCCCAGCACTTTAGTTAGTTCTGGTGTGTCTGCATGGAGTGTAGTTGTGCCCACAGACATTTCTCGTTTAGTAAAGGGTCTCTTTATCTCTGCATCCTTTGGGCCTGGTTCACTGCATCTCAGCACACATAGGAGCAGCTAAGACCTGCACAAGGATCCCCGGGACAGTGGTGTCCTCCAAGCCCGGCCTGAGCCCGAGGACAGCCCCAGCTGCAGCCTTGAGTTCATTGCACAGCACAGCGAATCCCGGCAGGTAAACAGCACGGGCACCCTCGTGTGGTCGCCGTGATGATCTCTGTGCTCTCAGCCAAAACCGGTCGTCCAGCACGTCTAGATGATTCCTCTAGGGATTCCTTCTAAGGAGGAGAGGGGCCCGGGAAAAGCATGAAGTCTGACAGAGCCAGTCGGCATGGTGCAGGGAGGGAATGCAAATCTGATGCTACAGTGAAAGCAGAGCAAGGGCCTCGCAAGGTCACTTCTACCACAAGATGGGCCCCTCTTCCCTGTGATCAGCAGCAAAGAAATCCCTGTCATGCAGCCTGCACCCTTTTGCTATCTTGGCCACTGGAAAGCTACATGCAGAAGAAGCTGAAGTCCTGGCTACTGAGATTTAAGCTCATGCTTCCCAGTCCTGCCCATTCCAAGTTTGCAGAACAGGTTATTTCTTTCTCCCCACGGCATCTTCCTTGAAAGATCAGCAAACAACAGCATTTACTCAAACAAGCCAATATGTCACTCAAGGTGTCACCCTGTATTAAAGGCATGACAGAGTGCAAGCAAACACAAGAAAGCATAGAAAATGTAAGGAGAGGTCAGATAAAACAAAAGCATGTGTGGAGAGTACTTCACAGCATCTGCCCAGGCTCCTGGCACTTCAGAGCAGGGCCAGCAGGCTGGGCTGAGCAGCCAAGCAGCCAGCTTTGTCATTTCTGTGTCCTCACACACTCACTGCTGCTTTGGACCCTGTTTTTTCCTTCCCCCACTCTTAGCTCAACCATTATCTGGTTCCTTCCTCCTAGAATTATGAGAAGGAAAGAGAAAATGAAAGACAAAACTAGATTCTGATGCTGGAACAAGAGAATTAACTCAAACCATGGGTAAAGAACTGATTTAACCCCATTCTGCACCTTCTGCTGTGCGTTGGCCACACAGTGAGGAAATGCAAAACCCTGAACCTTATATTCAGGAAAAAACAACAACAACAAAAACCCAAACCACAAAAAGACCACAACAACCCACCCTGTATTTCCCACAGGAAAACCCCCTCCTCTCAAATTGGTGTGGAAACAGAATTAAACCACCCATAGCACCATATTAGTGAATGCACCGAAGCAGAACACCCTGAGGTGAGGGCAGCACCGGGCTGAGGAGCCACGGCACGGAGCCCAGACTGAAATGCCTAGGGTTTGCCCCTTGGAGCCATTCCACAACGGCCTATTTTAACAAACAAAAAGCAAAATTATTATTTTTATTATTTTTTTTAAACTAAGGATTGCTAACCCAAGACCACCTTCTCCCCTTTACGAGGAATCGAACTGCATCAAAACAACCGGCGAGCCGCTCTGCTTTTCAAACGGCGGTGTGTACGGAAACGACGGCGATATTCTACTTATCTCACTTTAAAACAGCAGCGAAAAGAGGCGCTCTGCGGCGGTGTGGCCCGGCTGTGGCCCGCCCATAAGGCGGTGGGGCTGTGCCCGCCCTACCTTGAGGAGATGACATGGGGGACGAGCCGGCGTCGGAGGACGACACGCGTGAGTGGGGCCGCTGAGGCGGGAAAGCCGTGAGGAGGGGGTTTGGGCGGGAAAGCTGTGAGGAGGGGGTTTGGGCGGGAAAGCCGTGAGGAGGGGGGTTTGGGTGCGAGCGGCGCTGCGCGCTTTGTGGGCAATGAGGTGGAGTGCTGTGGGATCCCCCTCACCCCATCCTAGCTGTGGTTATAAGAGCAATAAGGGCTCCCCCCCTCCCTCTCGTGATCACCCTCTCACGGAAATGCTTTTAGGAATAGTTGAAAATGTAAAATCCCATTCAAAACTCAGCTAGGTGTAGAGCAGGTTGCTTTTGCTTTAAAGCACTGTGTACCCCTGAGGTGCTGCATATGTACCTCAGATTCTGCATTTTGGCCTCCAGCCACCCTGAGCGGTCTCTCAACACGTTTCTGTGCCTGCATTTCTGCTCTTTTACTGCTTTTTTTTTTTTTCTTTAAAAAAAAACAAACCTCTTGCATAATAAGCTGCCTGCTCATTGGTGCATTGCACTGGGGATAAAATGTTTAAAGTGTTTTCTGTGCTGTTTGGGATCACTGAACTCATATTCAGCACTTTAAGGGTGGTCATACCCCAGAACCTCAGCTTAAAAAGTAGGACGTTAAATGAACGTAAATGGTGCTTGTGGGGCAGGTGTGTGCTGTGATGGGGAGCGCATCCACATTTACAGGGATAACTTCCTCAATGTTGATGCTGAAGAGGCAATCACACCATCCAGTTGTTTCTCCTACATTGCTGAAAATAAATAAATTTCAGCTTCTGCTGCCTTAGAGATCTTAGATTTGTTGCTTTATCTTGGCCATTAGAGGAGGGAGTGAGTCAAGTGGCAGTGTGGCACCTGTGGCACCTGTGCTTTCTGTGTACACAGAGGGCATTTCTGCCTGAGAAATTAAGGCGTTCGTTTAACTAAGACTCAAGTCTCTTGTTTATCTCCTGAATGGGACAATGAAAAGTTCTGGTGCCTCTCTATGGCTTGTGGTTTGTCTCTGGTTGATAACATTTTCTCAGTTGTAATCAAGTGTCAGGCCTGTATGTTTGCAGATGCATAGAATTAATGGAAGGTGTTCAAAACCTCTTGATTTACATTAGATAATGCTAAGGCAGAGGTTTATCCATATCTAGATAAGCAGTCAAGTGAATAGAATTCTGCTTAATTACAGCTGAGAACCTACCTGCCATCATTTACTTTCTAACATTCTCAGAGTTAGTCAATACAAATGAAATAACCTGACCTGAGCAAAACCATCGCTACGTAGTCCAGCATTTCCTTCTTGTTTGTTGGGTCTTTTAGGGGTTGATTTTTGGTTAATGCAGGCAACCTTGTCGTTCCTGCAGTCTTCAGGCTGTGGGAACCAGTGGAGAGCGGAGCTGCTCAGGAGCTGTTTTGCCAGAGCATAAGCAGAACCACTTTGCTGATACTCTGCATTTGCAGGGTGGATTTTGATCTGCTATCCAATATAACACTTGAAGCTGTGCACCTGTGAGGACTTTTTCATAGACTGGGGCATTTTAGTGGCACAGAGGAAAACAGAGAAGATGGTTGTGCTCCCAGAGAGTGACGGTTCTGTATGATCCTGAAGTGCTTATAAATACTAGGTTTGAAAATCAGAATGGGATGTGTCAAGCAGCAGCAAAAGAGTGTGACTGAATATTACTACCTAGACTTACATTTGGGTTAAAACATGAGCAGGTTTGGTCGACACAAGCACGTATTCTTGAGGAGGGGGAAACAACAAACAAAAGTTGCATTGATCCTCTGCTATCCTCGAACAGCAGCTTGAGAGCTGCAGAAAAAAATAGAAGAGAGCAGAGCATCTGTGCCAGCTCTCCAGCAGGATGTGACAGGCCAAGGGTCTGACTCAATCACTTCTCTAAAGAATTCTCTAAAACCATTAGGGCAGTGACTGAGTCTGACAAAGGCTCGCAGCAGCCTTGCCAAAAACTCTGAGAGCCTCCCTGTCAGGCTGCAGCAGGCCCAGAGTCACATTGCTCTCGTTTCTTGGCAGGAGGGTTTGTTCGATTAAGGAGAAGATTGCTGAGGCAAGGCCCAGCATGGAGAGTAACACCCTTAAATTATGCCTTGCTGTGCAAGACAAATGCTGCCATTTGTGTAAATTAATGTGCAGAACTGCCACAGTCTATTAGGAGATGCAACACTAGTCACAGCTGGACAGTGGTTGTGTGCTGCCTGGCTGGTTCACATTGCAGGACGGGAGAACCATGTGCAAGAGCATCCTTGTAGAGCAGCAGGTAGTAAGTGGAGTGACAGAAGGAAGAGTATGTGTCTTCTGCTTGAGTCTTCATATCAGTTCTGGGCTTGGAGGGTACCAGATGTAATGGACCAGAAGGATAGATCCCTACAAACAGGAGATTCTGAATTAGAACTGGAAGAGCACTGATGTGTGGTGCTCAGAGAAAGGGAGATAGTAGGTGAAGATGAATCCATCAAACAGGCCAGCATCTGTATGGCTGGGATTCTTGCTGAAGGAATCTTTCTGCTGTCTTCCTTCCTGAAGTCATGAGGGCTGGTGTGCTGAAGGAGAGGTCTGTTGGGGCATGCTGCTCTGTGCTTCATTCCAGCACTTTTTCACTACCAGCTCTTCTGTCTCTGCTGCAGTGCTTCATTCAGAGAAGGAGTTCCATGATGCAGCAAAGCGTAATGACACGGCCAGGATGGAGGAGCTCATCAAGAGAGGGGTCGATATCAAAGCCAAAAACAATGTAAGTCCTAGGTTTTCCTGCCTCCAAGCTGCCAGAAGTGCTGAATGTGTTTGAGAACTACAGCTCCATTACACTGCTCTCCTCATTAGCTGCTCAATTGGCCAAAGCTTTAAAGTACACTGCCCAGTGCCAAATAGAACCTGTGGCAACTGGGCAGCTTCAAGCACACTTGAAAGCCACAGAAATGGTGTGCTGGGCAGACTGGAAAGTTGCAAGCACTGACAAAGGGTAGTAATTTATGGTTCTCTTTGGAGCCAGCGAGGTCACTATCTGCAGAGCGAGGAGGGAGGGAGAGGCTGTGGCCAAAGAAAACTCTGCACAGATTTGGATCTTCGAGGAGGAGGGTAAAAATGCACGCATTCTGCACACATCAGCTTTGGCTCTTTCCTTCATTCTCTTCCAGACAGACCGAACTGCCTTGCACTGGGCTGCAGGAGCTGGGAATGTGGATGCTGTGCGACTGCTCCTAGACCATGATGTGCCAGTGGATGATGAGGACAGTGTATGAAGGCAAACATCCCTTGCTCATCCTGCAAATGTGTGCACTGCTGGGGGGTGCTGGGCTGGCTAAGGCTGCACCTTAGTTTTGAGTGGATGGCACAAGGCACTGTGGTACCTGTGAAGCTGTGGCTTCTCTGCAAAGGTGTAGTGGTTTTTTGGAGCTAGCCACATTTTAAGGTGCCTCTGTGCTTGTCTTCTAGCCTTTTTTCTGCAAGCACAGTGACCAGGAAAATGTCTGGGAGGATGCAAGATTTTCTGTATAGCACAGGAATGCTTAGTTTCTTGTCATCATGTTGGTGAGGGTTGTGGAAATGCTATGACAGACGTCAAGTTCTCTCTTCCTCATAACAACCAGGCTAGTAGACACCATTGACTACGAGGTGGCAGATAAGAGGTATGACTCTGCTCAGCTGTTGATCATTGATGGCAGGAATAATAGCAGTTGGGCTAAATTGCAATCCGTGGACAGCTTAGCATTAGAGTGGAGATGGTAGTGATCTGCAGTTTAGTTGTACATATTTCTCTTTTCTTCTGCCCAGTTTGGAATGAACGCACTTCTCCTGTCTGCTTGGTTTGGCCACCTCCATGTCCTGCATATCCTCGTCAATGCTGGGGCAAAGATAAACTGTGTTAATAAGGTGAGAGTCTCTGCATCTGGGTTTGTCATGCAGAGCCAGAGAGTGATAGAGAGAGAGGCTTACCTATTAGCCAAGGTAATTGTGTGTGACAACAACATCATCTCTCTGATGGGGTGACCTTAGGTGAAGCCATCTTCACTTTGGAGCCTAAGCTTATTCCTGAAACAGATGTAATCATTGTAGCTATAGGGATGTACGAGGCTTTCTCAACTCAAGTTTCTGCAGTGCTGACATGGAAGGCATTACAGAACTGGAGAGTGGATCATGCTTTTTAAAATAAACCTCGGATGGGGAAAGGAGCATGAATACTTCAGTCATAACTTGCTTGTCTGCAGTAGATACTAGTACAGCTCTGGAGATAAAGGGAGACTTCAGACAAGTCATTGCTAGCAGGAATAAGTTGTTAAAAGAGACTGTCCCTCAGCCTTCAACTTGCTAAACAAACTGTCTTTGATCTCCTCTCCAGAATGGCTGGAACCTGCTTCATTGTGCAGCACAGAGGGGACACATCCAGGTGATGGAATTCATCATGGAGGACCTGGAAAATGTATGTGTGGATCAGACAGACAAGGTGGGAACTCTTCACTCATTTGCTTCACTAGGTCTGATTTTGCTCTGCTGAGTTTAGCAAGAATGTTGCCATTTGTTACAACCAAAGGTGACTCTCTCCCAGCATTTTCCAGCAATGGCTGATCTGTTCCTGAAGACAGGAACAGAGAGGAGCTGGGACACGTTTTTTTCTATTCCTTGGCACTCGTGGTTCCTAGAATTATAACCATTCTGGTCCTTGGAGGCTAAATGAAGCAACATGAGATCTGCCTTTCTCCAGAAGAGATTCTGTTTGCTTGATAACTGATGTCTCAGATATTATTTCTCTGTTTTGTGTTATCCTTGGTTGCTATTAGTAAGCTTTTTATTCTCTATTTTTATAAACTTTCCAGTGTTTTGTGAAACAGAGTTGTGAATACTGGTCTGTAGTTCTGTTCAGTTTGTGTTGTTAGCTTAACCCAAAGTAAAGCAGAATACAAGTTAACAGCAGAATAAAAGAGAACTATTTTAGAAGTGTGATGCTTTTTGCCTGCATGGACACTAACTTTGCTGAGAACTGGGTGTTTGCAGCAGATGATGTAATCTGCTTTCTGAGCCTCGTTGGGCTGTATTTTTTTTCTGCTTTCTTTCAAAGATGGACAGGACAGCATTTCACCTGGCGGCAGAGCATGGTCAGCTGGAGGTGGTGGAGTTCCTAATCCGGCATGGTTGTTCTCACAGTGCTAAAGACAAGGTATGGGCATAAAACCACTCACAAGGGAATATAAAATCCAAGAATCAGAGGATGTGAGAGTCAGGCAGGGGATACCAAATAAGGCCAGTGCAGGCAAGTTGTCAGCATTTCTAACTATGGTTGTGATATGTCAGGACTTTTCTTCCCTGTCTACCTGCAAGCCATTTGCTCCTCAGGTCCATGCTGGATTTCTCTCCAGAATTTTGCAGGTGGATATACCAGCAAGCCTGCTGGACCATACTCCACTTTAAGATGGCTAGGTTTCTTGACTTCATGCTGCTCTTAATACAAGACTTAATACAAGACTGTGTCAGATTGTTACTGCTGGTTATGGTCTCTTCTTCAGTCACTCTTGGGTACACTGCAAAATTATGTTGTATAAACACTCAATCTTATGATATACATAGAAGCATATATATATGTGTGTGTGTGTATGTATGAAATGATGTTTGCTTTCAGGAAAAGGATACAGCATTGCATTTAGCTGCTAAAAATGGACATCTTTCTGTGCTGCAGAAGATTGTAGATGTTGGAGTGGACCTTGATGAAAAGAACTTAGTAAGTACATCTAATGAAATGAAAATTACACAAGTTTTACTCTTTCTATCTCTAGAAATACTCTCCCGCCACAGTCATCAGGCTGAGTGATCACTATTGAGGTTTAGAAGATAACTGATTTTGTCTAAAATGTATGTGTTTAAATGAAAGTCACACTTGGAGAGTATCAGTGAAAAGCAACATCCTTCTTGGACCAATATCCAATTTTAAAGCATCTCATTTTCTTTCTGTTGTACCTCCTCACCTGCCTTATCACTCTGTTATCTCCTTTTTTCTCTCTGACCCTTGTACATTCAAGTGCCTAAATAGTTATTGAGTGTGTTTTAAACTCAACTTCAGTGTGCTTTACAGTATTGACTTAGCCACTGAACATATGGCCCTTCTGTTTGAGATCTCTCTTTGATAGACCTGCTTCAGAAAATTCTGTGGCTAGAACACAGTTAATGACTTAGATAGCAAATATTGGCTCAGTTAAGCTAGTATTTATTCCACAGCACACTTCCAATTAAGTTTATCAGCTATTTTTTAGTCTTATTTGGTTACAGTCCCTCTAAAGTACATTTGATTGTCACTAAGATCTGAAAGAAAAAGGGAACCAGCAATTTTAGTAACTGGTAGCATTTGTCACCCCCAGAATAGCTGTCCCCTCTGCAAGAGCAATAATAAAACTAGATGAACTCACCTAGCAATTCTGCTGCTTTCTTGCAAAGAAATGAGCTGTAGCCCTCAGAAGGAAAAGGGAGAGGCATTGTGGCCTATGGGCCAGCTGTTTCCCACGGCATAAGGACAGAGCAGTACTCTGTTAGTGACAGATTATTGTGTTCATTATTTTACTAACAGTCAGAGTTGTTATTTTAACATGTCATGAATTCAGAAGATACAATTGAGACCTGCTTGTTCTACTACTTCATCTTGTCCTTGCTTACAGAAGAGCAGTATGTTTCCTTTTTTGCTTCTCTCATCCTGCCTTGTTCCAGGAAGGACTTACATGTTTACACCTGGCTGCTGAGGGAGGTCACAGTCACTGTGTAAAGCTGCTCTTGGAAGCAGGTGCTGATGTTAATGTCCAAACTCAGGTGAGCTCTGTGGAGGTGACTCCTTTTTCAGAAGCTTTCTCTAGTGTGGCCACTGCACCTGCACAGCTTGTGCAACCACGTTGGTACAGCCAGCAGCTTGTACAGAGTTGGTTTTGAGCTTTCTTTTGGAGAACGGCTATGCGATGTAGTGTGAGTGTGGAGAAGCCCTTTGTGCAGTCACTTAAGTCTCTAGAGAGAGCCTCTTCATCTCAGAGGCTAGTCTTCCTCTGTAGATTCCTTTATACTCCTGTTGCTATCATGACAGGGTACCTGTAGAAAGGTCTTGGGTTCAGGCCTGCCCTACGAAAATTGGAGTTGGCAGAAGTAGAGCAGAGAGTGCAGATGAAAGCCCATGTGGGTTTGTACAAAGAGGTACATGAAACTGCTCTGGGACCAGAGAGGTGTGGAGATGATCTGTGCAGATTTACTAGTTCTGGGGCATGGGTTTCTTGTAGGAAGGAAGCATGGAGATCTCTGTGAGTAGTCTGTAACAAATGCAGCTTCTGAGAAGAAGCCCTGACTAATACCTGTATTTTCTCATGTGCCTCTAGAAGAAAATGAACTGCCTTCATTATGCAGCGCTACATGGCTATGAGGAGATAGCCAGGATCCTTGTGGATGCAGGAATCCACATAGATGCTGTTAATCATGTGAGTCCCACTCGTTGCTCTCATTCCGTACTAATAAGCAAAAACAGCTGGTGAAGCTGTTCAAGAGCACAAAGCAACTTTGTAAAGACCAGTGCTGCCGTGGAGCCTGTGCTTACGAGGCAGTATCCCCAGTACCCCCCAGTCCAGGCACTTGTCTTATTTTGGCCACTGTAGGCACATGCAGTCTTTTTGATGCCATGGAGGTGAGTGCTTTCTAAGCACAGGTTCTTTTCTTGTACAGCAAAATGCTTCAGCAACACACATTGCAGTACTACAGAACTTCCCAGCACTGGTGAAGCTCCTCATTGATGCGGAGTGTGACCTTGACATTCCAGATAATGTAAGTCTGCAACTCTTTTTGTTTTTTTTCCTTTGAAATGTGAACCCATTTTGTGGAAGATTTGATCACCTTGGGGACAGGACTAAAGAGGAGTGCTTTTCTCTAAAGAGAAATGGGGAAAAGCTGGAAGCGTAATTTAGGAAATGTGAAGCCTGCTAAATGATACTGAGTGCTGCAGTGAGGTAATCTCTTGGTAGTACTCGCTCATCCTGTGGGCTGTGCCTTGTCCTTGGGACCTGTGTACAGAGACATGGCATAAACTCTGCCCTCTGCTGGAATCAGGTGACTGAAATTTCAGGCCAGAAGGTATTCCCCAAAGGTAGCTGGTTGTCTTGACTGACTGTAATTTTGTGAAGGGGCTTTATTAACAACTTGGTAGCTTGTTTGTAGTGTTTTGGATCATATTCATTCTTGTGGAGATATTCTCTCCATACAACCATACAATCACCACGTTTTGTGTTTGATTCTTAATTTTTTCCATTAAGTAATTCCAAAGTGCAGTGTGTACACACTAACAAGACCCTTTGTCCTCAGAACAAAGAATTGGCACAGGTTCATTCCTTCCTTGCCAAACTATTTGCCTACAGAAAATGTTTAAATAACATGAAATAAAACGTTCCTACAAGTGAGCCCCAGGAGGTGTATGAGACTGAAGAGGTTCCTTCTTCAGACTGAAATGTCATCAGGGAGGCATCCCAGTGCTAGGACAGGGACAGACTGTGACTCAGCTTGAGGAACCCAGTGCCAGTTCAAGGTAGGAGGGTGTTTATGTCTCAGTTGAAAAAGGGTTGGAGAGGAAAGGAAGGCAGAGCTGACAATGTTCTTCCAGTGCTTCCATCTGGTACTGCTCTGTCCTATCTTCACAGCCTCACGCTTGTGCCTCTTTGAAATTGATTCCTTTTGCCCTTCTTATGCAGAGGCAGCAGACCTCACTTCATATCGCTGCAGAGCACGGCAGGCAGGACATCGCCGAGATGATTCTCATTGCCGGAGTAAATCTGAAACTAACGGACAAGGTGAACGTCTCCATGGGTTGAATAGATCTTTGTCATTTTATAGATAGTTCTCCTAATTTTTAAGAAGTGCTAGGGATAATATTAAAATCTGGGTACTTGCAGGGATAAAGTCTGGAAATGTTACTGTGTAGGTTGTTTTGATGCCTTCTCCAGTAAGGAAGTGACTGGTTCTGAGGAAGATAGAAAACAGTTCACAAAGTGAGCAAAATTTCCTCTAGTTCATGCTCCAGTTCACATCACTTCTGCTTGAGATACTGTATACATTAATATCAAAGGTATTATGGAGGTATGATAAATAATGTAAATCAGGGATTGATGGTGGTACATTTTAATAGGTTTAAAGTATTTGGTTTGTATAAATTTGGTACCAGTGTCCTGGGTTTTAGCCCCTAAATTTAAAAAGAAAAGGGAATTGTAGAGGAATCTCGCACTTTGTGTGCAGCCTGAAAGCATTGTAATGTGCCTAGAAAATGCTGAAAGGGGCTTAGGCAGAGGTTAATGTAGTGTCTTCCATTAATACATGGATTAAAGCACACAAAAGCAGATCCAAAGCCACCTGGCTGAAACAGCCTTTAGCTATAGTAAACATTTGCCATCTTCTAGCAGTCTGTGGAACCACAGCAAGGCTCATTGCAGAGAACACATTCACACTTTTCTGTGTGAAACTGGGTTTCTGCTCATATCTGAGACTAGAATCCATATGCCTGATGACTGGGCTGGCTCACCTTCCTACGTGCAGCTTTCTAATCTTGTGCCTTTCTTCTCTATGCTCTCAGATACATATACACACTCTCCCCACTGCCCAATCACTTTATGCAAAATTTTGTTCATGTAAGGAGTGTAGTTACATTTTCATAGTCCCATCCACCTGTGCTTCTCCCAGGAGACCATTTTTAATCATGCATTGTGGATCCTATAAAGTTAATGAGGTTGCACAAACCACTTCAGCTTTGTGCATCAACTAACCTGCTATGCAAAAGGCTGTAACATGTCTTGGATTGTAGAGCTGAGCTAATTTGTAAAGATTGAAGACAGCACCCATATTGCTGGGTGCCTGAAAGCATCCTAAATCCACTGTGACTTATAGGATGCATTCCCAGATGCTGCTTCCAAACTGACAGTTCTCCCATGGCAGCAGAAGAAATGCTAAAGATCTTGGCAAGTGACTCCCCAAGCCCTGCATGCAATAAGTTGAAGGTAATTCATGGTTTACACGAGGAGACATGATTTACAGGTGGAGAATAAGGATCCTTCGTCAGAACTAAGTACATTGCTCAATAGGATCAGCTGCCTGCTGTTAATGGCTGCCAGGTGAGCACAGTTAGGTCTCTTCCAGCTCATTTTTTCCCCTTCTGATTTCAGCAGGGAAAAACATCTCTGGATGTTGCTGCCCGAGGCAATCACATCAACTTGGCAGACATGATTATCAAGGCAGATCGGTTTTACAAATGGGAAAAGGTGAGCAGCTTATACCACCATACCCTGTGTTTTACAACGTAGATGTAGCTTTATTGTATCCACTGAGACTCCACATTACCAACTGTCAAAAAAAAAAAAAAAAAAGCAGGACATTCCATGACAGCCTGACCTCAGCTTTCATTTAAAAGAAAACAAAAGCCCTCAGCATGTCAGCCACATCTACTTAAGGCTTTTTATTTTTTAAAAAGCCTCTGTTGTTAGAAGCTTCAGGCTGTGGCGAAGTGAACAGGGGTTTTCAAAGATTCTTTGGCAGCTTTCCCAAAGCCTTGTAGAAGAGAGTGGGGTGTAATTTCCTTTTCCCAGAAGGAGAAACTGAAGCACTGAATAGGTAAATGTTGGCTTGAGGTCAACAACTGTGACCTTGGGAGTTACAGCAGAGGGGGCTATCTTACCTCCTAAAAAATATCATTTCTTGCAAGATGAGTGATTGTTTCTTGTTGGAATCACATAACCAACTTCCCTCTCAAACTGGGGCTGTTCCTCCTGTGTTTCCCAGTGTGGGACAGCAGTGTTTCCTGTGTGTAGGGTACAGCAGCTCTACCTCAGCCCCCCCTCCAAGTCCTAGATCTGTGACCAACACAGTCTGAGCAGAGGGTGTTTAAAAGCACAGCTGAACACCCCATTTCTTGCATCTTTATGGACTTAGTGTATTCTCCACTACCAGGAAACACAATACTCTAGAAGGGAAGGAAAAAGAGGGAAAGGAGGGCATAGGCACTGAAATAATGCTGTGTGTCAGGCCCTTGCATGGGCTTCCCACATAGCCCTAAGCAAAGTCATTTATCCTGCTTACAGTCTGGCAGGCAAAGGAGATGAGCGCGTGCCTGTGTTCTAGGGGAGCAAGGAAATCTGATGAAATGATTCTTCATACAAGTCCCAGATAAAAGATGCTATAGAAATGCAAACTGTGATTTGCATGGGCTTCCACAGCAAAGTTGCCATTAATCGTATTTGTTAACGCGCATCATTAAAATAGAGTGAAACAAGAATAAAAGAGATGTGCTGTGCCAGAATGAGCTTGTAGCAACCTGCAGAGATGGGTATGTGGGAGACAGCAGAGTGACAACTATCTAAAAAGCTTCAGTGATAGCAGGAGGGCATGTGCAGGTCTTGGTTCAGAGAGCACGATGGGGCCGATGTCAGTAATACCAACAGAATAGATCATTAATATCCCAGCTTCACTGAGACTGTCAGCCTCAACAAGACAGACCTACTGTAGATCAACATGAGAATGAGATACAGTTTTGCACTTTGATGCCAGCAGGAAAGCTGAATTACAACATGAAAGCAGCAGGACACACCAAACTGCATCTTATCCCACAGAAGACTCTGATAACAATTCTGCAATATCCCACACTGAAACTCCTATTCTGGCTTTGCAGGACAACCTGAACAGTGACTCCAACTCCTGGGTGGCAAAGCACTTGACCTTTAAGCAAGATCACAGGGTGGAAACACAGCACATTCGCTCAGTAATGTGGAGGTTAGCCACTAAATACCTCAAACCTGGTGAATGGAAGAAGCTGGCACATTACTGGAAATTCACCGATGCACATATTAGAGCCATTGAGCAACAATGGACAGGTATAAAACATTGCCCAACTGTTTTCTGTACTTCATTTGGACTGCATTTCCAGGACAAAGGTCTGCAGCACTACTGAAGTGTGAAGAAAGCCACCTGGCTTACTCAAAGCAACCAAACTGTACTTAACAAGTGGGGAGATATCTGTACACTTCTTCTGGGAGTCAAAATCACACAAGCGTGGATGTCAGTTGTCCCGTTGCTTTGTGAGGTGCTGCCAAATCTTGAGGCCTTGCTACAGAAATTGAATTAAATATTCTTTTTCTTTAGGACAGGAAAAAAATACTTGTTTATCCTCTGTAGGAAGCTGAGTGAAGGCAACAGCAGAGTTTCATTTGGGATTTAACAGATGCCTTAGTAGCACCAGGTTCTGGAAACAGATCACTGCCAATTTGGTGGTCACCATAGGGAGCCCCTGTAGTTTGCATAGCAAGGAACTAAGCTATGCTCCAAAGGCTGAAATTCTGTACTGATGTAAAAAAGGTTGCCTGACAAGCCCAAGCTCATCCATCGCCTCGCCTCATCCATCGCCTCCTTAGCTTTAATATTAATCTAGCAATCTGACCAAACAGGAGTTAAGACAGATTGTACTTTACAGCCTCAAATCCAAAGAGGAGGGATGTTCAAACACGGGAGGTCAGAAATCAGCTTCAGTCAGGGTTATGGACTGCAAAGTGCAGAGTTTCAGTTTCAGTTTCATTTCACCAGGTACTGCAAGCTACAGGGAGCACGGCCACAGGATGTTGCTTATTTGGCTTCACGGTGTGATCATGGCAGGAGAAAATCCAGTCAAGGGGTTGTATGAAGGTCTTGTGGGCATTGGAAGAAGAGATTTAGCAGGTAACACTTTTGTTTTTCTTCAAATAGTACACACTAAGCATTAGCTGAATTCTGTTTCCAATACAGCATACAGAGAAAAATTTAAATAAAACCAAGTCACAGGGCCTGGAAGTTACTGTGCCCTGTCCCACCCCTCACCACCATTCCATTTGTCATTTCTGTTCTTGTTATTTGAAAAATTAACACATCCTGCCACAGCTTTATGCCTGCAGCATGAGAACAACTAGTAAACACAGATCAAAGCATTCATTAGTAAATATACTATGTTATCAATACCCACCCAAACCCTTAATGCTCAGAAAATTCTCTTTTACAGAAAGCATTCGGAAAAAAGCAAACGCAGACCCTGCTTCTCCAAGAAAGTGCGCAGCAATGTAACACCCACCGGTTGTCATTGCCTGCCTGATGAGCTGCAAAAGAATCACTTGCTATGCTACTTACCAGAAGGCAGCTATAACTTCAGGGCTTGTCATAATAGTTGGCATCACTGCTGCTTCCTTCTTGGTCTGGAACTACCAGGATATCAGCAAATAGTAGCAGTCTAAATGCCTCCTTTATAAAGTGAGATTTTATTGGCTATTCCATATGTTCCAAACACTGTAATAAGAGGTAAGTTACAGCATGGCAAGTGAGACTATCAGGAAACACTGCAGTATTTTACTGTAACTTGTTTGCATCACAATTTTGTATATAAGTTTTTAATTGTCAATTTTATAAACTGGGGAGAACGCCTTTGTTTTGAGAAATGTTCTTTACTTATCTATTTTGTGTTTATTTCTGGACTGGTGCTTGTGTCTAAGATTTGTTCTCAACTTCCCTCTTAGCACAGGAGTTTGCTCAGGAAAGTTGAGGTGACTACATGGTCTGTGATCTTTAAGGAGAAGATCAGTAACATTCATCAATGAAACATTTATAAATCAAATGGGTAGCTTCTTTAATCTCTGGGTTGCCATTTGAAAAGCCTAGATGAGCATGGAGTTATCTGTGTTCTAAGAAACAAAGAGTGAAGTTAAGACAACCTGAAGGCTGATATTTCCATCCAGAGCACTGCTGCATGGATTTTACTGTTTTAACTCAGATGTTAGCATTGATTATTTTACACAGTCTCTCATAAGGATAGTTTTCATAAACACAGATTTGACTTGTCAGCTTTTGTATTTTTAGAGTGTTTCAAGTAGAAATAACGTCTGTATTTCAGTGAAACAGAATCTTACTGTTAAATTTGCACACAATATTATATCTTAGTCATCCTTTTCTTAAAAAAAAATAATCCAACAACAACAACAACAACAAAGTGCAATTCTTACTCGTTGCTAACCCAGCACAACCTTGTAATTAGAACTGTTCAATACAAGAGGCAAGTTCAAGCAAAAGATTTCTTAACTTCTAAAAGGTACCTGTAGAGGTAAATCTAGACTACAGAAAGCCATGCTGCTTCTGTTCTCTTGTAACCAGTAGAAGAGGCAATTGCTGAAATCGAAGTTTTATTGAAAACCATTGTTAACAGCTAGCAAGAAAGTTAAAAATTTCAAATAGAAACTAACTTGCAACACAACATATAGAGCAAATAAGTGATGGCAACATTGGCACTTAAACATCTTTTAAATCAAATATTCAACAAAAATATATGTCAGCTTATAAGTACACAAACTGCATGTGGCAATATATACAGCTGAGTGAAAATATAAAAAGAAATACCGTTCTGCTTAAGAACATGATAGTGAAGACTTTGGTAGCAAAAATGTCTTTGTTTTTAAAACTGTAGTCTTCAAAGATGCTTTCTTGAATTCAAAGACTAAAAATTAAACAGATGCCCTATTATATTGTTGAATGTTTATTGTCCGCGAGTGGCTCACTGACTTGATCCTGCTGGAATCACACAGTGATGATCGGCTAATACAAGGAGAAAGGCAGAGTAGGAACAGATGATTGTACACAGGAAGACCACCAAACTGATTCCTCATTTTCATTGGCAGTCAGAAACCTACTGCTCTTCTTGCTCACTGCTGGTATGAAGACTGATCTTTTGGACTTCCAGTTCTTCTGCACTGACCATAGAGGGATCAATGGCTGCATACCGGGTACCGTGGAACTGCAGTAAATGGATCTGTTGGATACAGAAAATAACAGTGAAACTAGTGTAGACTGGGACATTCCTTAAGGGAATTTTTCTGTGAGGATGAAGTTGTTGGCCTGGAATACAAGAGTATAGACAAAGGACAGAGGAAACAGGCCCCCAACCAAGCCCCCAAAGCCATAAACATGGCAACCTGCAGTGCAGTTCTTCTGTATCAGTGATATGGGAGCATGAGTAAACAGATCAGGCAGGCAAAAAAAAAAAAAAGAAAAGCGAGCTCAGAAAAAGTTTCCTATTGCTGTTTCAGCAACGCATCTGTAGATTAGGTTTGAATACAGACACTCACTTGAATGTATAAATTGACCTCAGCACTCCTGCAGAGATAAGGGAAATTGCCTCCTGTTTTGAGATGAGCTCTTCTGGCATTAGGATAAAGCTTATACATTTCTTCTTTTGCTTCAGTTGAGAGCGCACTCTGGTCAAACACCTGTGCAACAAGTCACAACAATTAGGAGTCTAGTCAGATTTTGCTTATTAAATCAAGTGGACGGACCCTGTTTCTAGAAGCAATTGCCAGCTTGTCTGTGGAACAGTTTTAATGAAACAGAAAACAAGCAAACATGTTAAGCATCAGTGACTAGAAAGCTGACATTGATGGGTAAACATTTGGGTATTCCGTGCAGTAACAGCCATTAGTTCAACACAGAAGAGCCACCGTCTTATCCAGTCAGTAGTATACAAAATTAGATGCTGCAAATATTTATTAAGTTTCTAACACAATATCCAGGCCCTACTTTCCAAGAGGAGGAAATGACATTTGGGGAAAAAAAAGTATTTAAAAAATTAAGCTGAAGTAAACTTACATCCATAATAGTTACAGGGATATCTCGAATTTTATGAGGTTCCACGTAGGAGTTCTGGCAATTGAGGGTAAGTCTTGAGGCAAGCTCACTCTGGCCCAGACTCTCCAGCTTTCAGTAGAGACAAATACTGATTAATAACATATTTCACTGCAGGAAGTTAATGCAATAGTAACAACACAGCCAAAGAGAAGACAGCTCCTTAGTTTTAAAGGGAAACATGACTGCTCTTCAGATAAGGATTATAGTTCCAACTTAATATCTCTCTGCATGAGACAAATACTTAAAATGTTTAATTAATTGTTCCTGCCTCCAGAGCATAGCCTACAGATGTATCTCAGCACTTTATTCCTTTCCATCTCTTTCTTAGCCACTTCTCTTCCAATATACATAAATAAATGGAACAGTAAGGCAGACAAGTCACAGCAACAGTTAAATTAAGGGCTGTCACAGCCAACACCTGCTGAGAATCCATCCACTGTTCACTTCTGGGTACATAAATGAAGAAAGCAGAAGGAATATCTACAAGCTCCCGTCTAAGTGAACCTCTCACAAAGACTGACATTACAGCCATTGGAGTACACAGACACCTACCCTGTCCACCATGAAATCAATCCCATCAGCCATTTCAGGATCTACAGGACCAGATGCAAAATTCCCAAGGACAATTTTTTTCAGCATAAAAGCAGGCATCAGCCAAAAGCTAAAAGAGAAACAAGATGTAACAATCTGAATTAAGATGCTTTCTTTTAAGACCTCCCTTTTCTTGCACTGACTTTGTGCAGGAGTTTCAAATGAAATTATGAAGAGCTTTGAGAGCAGAGATGGAAAACCTTGCAGATAGGTGATTGAAATGCTCTGGAAAGCTGCTGCATTGCAGGGGTGTATTTTAAACATGGTGAATAACACTTTCCTTGCTCTAAAAAGTTTTGCTCAAAATCAAGTAGAATTCTCAAGTCTGGCCACGTCCTTAGATTGTGAGATAAGGGAAATTGCAACAGTAGTCTGTTAAATTCCATGCTCCCAATTGTGATAACTTCTGTTTTCCTTTATAGTGTGGTTTTAAAAGTCACATGTATTCCAGCCCTCACCATTTCATGCAGGATGAAAACAAGTAAGACACATGTCAAACCAGATCAGCAGATCAGTGTGAAATTTCATCAGAAAACATATGAATGCCACCAACCTCATTGCTTGTCTTGGTCTTCCTTACCTGTTTGCTGTCCATGTCTGATTGAAGATGGAAGTGTCACTAAAGGCATTACACAGAATCAGAGATTGAACTCTGGGAGATTTGTGTGTGTATTCAGCAAATTTTTGAGCCAGAAAGCCTCCTAGAGAAGCTCCAAAAAGGTGAACCTAATTCAACAAGGAAAAACAAAACAGATCTTGTTACATTTGAGAAATAAGTGACCCTTAAGGGTCACGTTACAAAAAGTCATTCGAGTTTTACATTGTCTTTATAGCTATTTTTTGAAGAAAAAAACAACAAAAAAACTTCAATAGAGGTTCTTTGATTTACAGGAAGAGATAAATACTGAAAAAAAGGAAGTGATCACGCTTCTAATTTCTGTGTGCTCATCATGCTTAAGTAAAAAGTGAACATTTCACTTTATATTCAATAGTTTTTCCAATCCAAGATAATTTATGGTGGTATTCTGTACAACATGAGTTGTGAAGGATAACTTCAGCAGGATCTCATGAAAAAAGAAAAATGCAGTTGCTAATACAATTTAATAGGCCTAAAATAGCAGTGAATTTAGTCAAATTTTCAAAGGAATTTCCTTTCAAAAATAAACTCACAACACAGCCTCTTTATTTATAGGCTGGTTTTGCATCATGTACTACACATCTGCTCTTAAATGAGACTTTCAAACATCAGCTTTTTATGGCAACTATATATCCATCTCTGGGCACTCACTTTATCCAGCTGAAGGTGGTCTAACAGTTTTCTGAATCCATCACAGAACTCAAGGTGATCCCAATACACTGGGTACTGCAACTAAAACAATATACAAGTTACAAAAAGCCAATCTCTAATCATCAGATGTCAATCTCCTGCTAGAAAGTTACACCAATTCTCACATTTAAGGTTTCAAGATAATACTCACAGCAATAACTCTGTAACCCCATCCAGTCAGTGCCAAAATTTGCTGGAAAAACACATCTGCAGTTCCACTTACAGGAGGAAGAAATATGAGTGGGCACCGAATGCTCCTAGGTCCTGCATCATACAGTGACCAGACTTTACTGTCATCATCATCTACTATTATCTGGAAGAAGAGAAGCAGAGAGGGGGTGAGAAACAGAAGACTGAAATGAGCTTCTTCCAAGATTGCACATTCCAGGATTGCTACTACAAAATATCTGTCATCCAGTAAATCTTACAATATTCAAGACTCTTCCAAACAGGACTGTCTTTTATTTCTCACAACTTTCTTCTCTAAGGTCATTTACTAAGCAATGGCAGTTTTTCCACAGATGCAGCTGGAGACAGAACTCTGACCTCTGTCAAACCAAATGGTGTCAGAGGCAGCACAGCACGTGGTGCCTCCTAAGAGCTCATCCTTCTGCAGACAACAAGAGTGCAAGTGCTGGGAATAGTGAATTATGTTGGTTTTATAGTGATTGAGTGCATTTCAGAAATTGTGCTGGGAAAAAAAAAAACAAAAAATCACTTCCTTTCTGAAAAACAGCAGAAAGTCAAAAAGATGGTACATCGTGATCTGAAAATGCAGACTGAAATATATCATGGGAACAGCAAGGTTCTGGCTCCCTCAAAAAAAAAAAATCAGGTTTATACAGTTCCACATGAGGAGAAATATGCTTGCAGCCATTGTGCCACAGCCCAACAGAGACCCAGGGGGCCACCTCAGTACCAAGCATAGCAGCCTTAGGCTGGAAGAGCCTGCACTGCCCCAGGGTCAGATTTTTAACCAGTCATTGACACTTCCATTTACTGGACAAAAGATGTTACAGATCTGGATGCATGTGAATCTACTGAATTAAGCAGCTAACCACACATTATCGATTTGAAGCAGTTACACCTGATTGCTAGGGATGTACTCAACTCCCAGAGCAGCATTGCACAGCTGACCTGGAAAGAAACGAGCACATGTCGGGAGAGCCTGCAGTCCCTATGACACAGCTGGCTGAAGCAGATTATCCACACACAAGCTGCTCACAGAGGGCGCATAACATGCCAGAAGCAAGAAGTCACAGCAGAAATAGTA